GGAAGGAGGGAAGGAGGGAGGGAGGGAGGGGGGAAAGAAGTGGGGAGGGAAGGAGGGAGGAAAGGAAGGAAATGTTTGAGTAATGATCCTGTATCCTTTTCTCTGGATTTTTTCTATGACATTCCCCTACCACATCTTTCCCTCTTCCCCACCCTCCATCCGCTGATGAGATTTTTTAGGAGCTAGGGTGCTGGTTGCCATTGGTTCCTTATGGTGTGCCTGCATTGCTCGCATCCACCCCATTCTCAGGCTCCTGAAGCCCCTGAGTATTGTGACATCACAGGGACTACCTGTCTCTAGTCACCAGCACCTCTTATCTCTTATCCCAAGCTGTGGCTCACCTTGCTCTCTTGGTGCCACCTCCTGGAACACGGAGGTGGCATACTGTAGCTCCTGGGAATGTTCGGCCTCTGGGCAAAAGATAAGAAATAGGAGTTATTGGGCCAATTATCTGAATTTCTAAGCACATGAGGGCAGTGGGATAGACTCTGCAGAACATGCTCACCATCTTGGGCTGTGGAAACACATGGTCTGGATCCCACTTCTGGGACAGATCTCTCCTCTGTAAAATGAGAATGACATAAATTGGGGGTTGGTAGTATTTGTGTTAGAAAAGGTGGGCAAATTACTCAGCACTGCGTCTGGAATGTGGTCATGTTGGCTGAGATTGTTTCATTGTCAGCTGATGATAGGGTTTGGCTGTGTCCTCACCCAAATCACATCTTGAATTGTAGTCCCCACAAACCCCACGTGTCATGGGAGGGACCAGGTGGAGATAATTAAATCATGGGGGTGGTTTCTGTCATACTGTTCTAGTGATAGTGAGTTAGTTCTCACAAGATCTGATGGTTTTATAAGGTTTTTCCCCCTTCCCTTGGCTCTCATTCTTCTCTCTCCTGCTGCCTTGTGAAGAAGGATGTGTTTGCTTCCCCTTCTACCATGATTGTAAGTTTCCTGAGGCCCCCCAAGCCCTGTAGAACTGAGAGTCAATTAAACCTCTTTCCTTTATAAATTACCCCATCTCAGGTATGTCCTTATAATAGCAAGAGAATGGACTAATACATCAGCCAAGGCGTTGGGTCTTGTTTACTACAAAGCAATGTGCAGTGCCTGCTTTGAGAGGTGACCATGAAAGACTGTGAAACACAGTGCGGATCATTCTGAACAGATGTGAAAAATCTTCAAGATATGTTGTTACATGGAAAAAAAAAATCAAGGTGTAGAAAGTCATACCTACAATATGCTACAATTGCTACCATTTGTTTATTATACACATAGAATATCTGTGGAAGAATTTTTAAAAAACTAGTTTTTACCCCTAGAAAGTGGGACTGGGCATCAATAGACATTGAACTCTATCCCTTTTGCTCCACCCCCCACTCCCATATGTCTGTCAACCTTAACAAAATCAAAAGACAAAAACCTGAAACCACCCAAAACACACAACAAAGTTCTCTTACTTGCTTGTTTTCCATGGATATTTGCATAGATTCCAACTTCCACAGCTGTGTCTCCACAGTCCCTGGGCACATTATTTCTCATAGCTTTTCCTACATAAATCAGTACAGAATCATTAAATTAAACCAATTCAGCCACATTTCTCTCATCTCCTCAGCCAAGGAGCAGAACTCCCCAAAGTTCTGAAACAAGGAGTGACTTGTTCCAACGGCCCAAACTGTTGTCTAACAAAGGAATACTATAGACTCAGCAGGGAGTCTAGACACGGCTTCACCAAGCCAGGGGCTGTTCTGATTTATTTTCCTGGCTTTCAGAGGAACATGCTTTACCTATCAGATTATGCCTGAACTAGCCAGACTTATTTTCTTTCCTTCGCTGAAGAGAATATTCTGTGGAAGCTTTGTAATATCTTCAAGAGAGTGTAAATGGCCTACCGAATTCTTTTTTTTTTTTTTTTAAGACAGAGTCTCGCTTTGTGGCCCAGGCTGGAGTGTCATGGTGCAATCTCCACTCACCACAACCTCCGCCTCCTGGTTTCGAGCAATTCTCCTGTCTCAGCCTCCCGAGTAGCTGGGATTACGGGCATGTGCCACCATGCCCAGCTAATTTTTTGTATTTTTAGTAGAGGTGGGGCTTCACTGTGTTGCCCAGGCTGGTCTCAAACTCCTGACTTCAGGTGATCAAAATGCTGGGATTATAGGCATGAGCCACTGTCCCCGGCCAGCCTCGCTGAATTCTATTGTTAGCTCCAGCCAGTAATCAAAAATATTAATGCCACTTTTGCAATAACCTGGACTTTTTATAGGAAGGAGAAACATGTTTTTAAGACATATGAGATGTGGGCCAGGGTGCAGTGGCTCACGCCTGTAATTCCAGTGCTTTGGGAAGCTGAGCTGGGAGGATCACTTGAGGCCAGGAATTTAAGACCAGCCTGGGGAACATAGTGAGACATTGTCTCTAAAAAGAATTTTGTAATTTAAAAAAAAAAATACTGTAATCCCAGCACTTTGGGAGGCTGAGGCAGGAGGATGATTTGAGTCCAGGAGTTCAAGACTAGCCTGGGCAACATGGTGAAACCTACAAAAAAAAAAAAAAAATTAGCCGGGAATGGTGCGCGCCTGTGGTCCCAGCTACTCAGGTAGATGAGGCAGGAGGGGGCCTGGGAGGTCGAGGTTGCAGTGAGCCATGATTGCACCACTGCACTCCAGCCTTGGGTGATGGAAGTGAGATCCTATCTCAAAAAAAATATATATATATATATAAACACACACACACACATATACACACACATATATATACACATATACATATATATATACACATGTATGGGATTACAGCTGGGGCTGTAATACAGCTCCAGCACTTTGGGTGGCCGAGATAGGCAGATCACAAGGTCAGGAGTTCAAGACCAGCCTGGCCAACATAGTGAAACCCCGTCTCTACTAAAAATACAAAAATTAGCCAAGTATGGTGGTGGGCACCTGTAATCCCAGCTACTTGGGATGCTGAGGCAGGAGAATCGCTTGAACCCGGGAGGTGGAGGTTGCAGTGAGCGGAGATTGTGCCACTGCACTTTAGCCTGGGCAACAGAGTGAGGCCCCATCTCTTAAAAAATGAAATGAAATAAAATAAAATCTTAAAGATGCATCAGATGTATAACTCGTGACCTCTGTGGTCAAGTTTTATGTCAGCTGAGTCCCTGACTTCTCTGAGTTGTGACTCTCTGGAAATGGTTCCCAATTGGTTCTCTTGCCAGTTCTGACAATATCTCCATGGCCCATTCCACAAGTCAGAACACCAAGGCGCAGAAGCAACAGCCTGAGGGGCTTGTCCAATAGCCCTCAGCTTGCTGATGGGCACCAGTGCTGAGACACAAACTGTCTTTTGTGTAAATCTTCATATTCTTCCGCACTCATGTGCCAAATGAAAAAACCACTTTGAAGTCTTAACCAGCGGTGGCCATAAGACGTGAGGAATGAAAAGCAGTAAGTGGGCTGAGTACAGTGGCTCATGCCTGTAATCCCAGCACTTTGGGAGGCTGAGGTGGGAGGATCGCCTGAGTCCAGGAGTTTAAGACCAGCCTAGGCAACATAGTGAGACCCCCGTCTCTAAAAAACATTTTTTT